AGAAAAATGGCAGTTTGGGGAAAGCTGGGAGAATTTGGGGGAAAATGAGCCCCAAATGGGGTTTGGCTGCAGGATGGGGAATTGTGGCATTGAGGCTCCAAACAATCAGATTTTGCCCAAAATGAAGTGTATTAATGGCTTAATTAATGAGTAATTAAGTGGCCGTGGGAGCGCTGAGAAGGGCTGGAATTCTCTTTTCACCCTTTTTTCTTTTTATGATGATTTTTTTCCCCATTTGAAGCCCGACTGGAGTGGAAATCCCATTTTGGGGTGGTTTCATGGGGACATTTTGGGGGCTTTTCCCCCATTTCCCTCATTTTGGGGTCGATTTGTGCAGCGCTGCACAGCCCCAAAGCTGTCTCTTTTGCCCCCAAAAGCGCTCAGTTTCACCCCAAATCCCTTCCCTTTAACTTATCCATCCCCAGCGGGGCGGCCGGGGGGACAATTATTATTTAATTTGTAAATACTGTATAAATTTTTAATAGCTTAATTGTACATATGGCGAATAAAGGCGACCCAAAGGTCCGTGCTGTGTTTCCTCTGTCCCCAAAATCCCTCCATTTCACCCCATTCTGCACCCTTAAAAACTCATTTCAGCCCATTTTGTTACCCCAGAACTCATTTCGATCCCTCAAAACCCCATTTTTGCCCCATTTTGATCCCTCAGTCCATTTCAACCCTACAGACCTCACATTTGCCCCCTTCTGTACCCCCAGACCCCACTTTGACCCCATTCTGTCCCCCAGCCCCATTTCCCACCCCACTTCCAACACCACACACCACTCCTCAACACCTTTTATTCCATTTCGTCACCCATCACACAGAGGGGTTGTCCCATTTTCCCCCCTGGGGTAATTTTGGGGTCCCCTAGGTGTATTTTGGGGGCCCTCTGGGGCATTCTGGGCCCTTCGACTGAATCTTGGGGTCCACTGGGGGCATTTTGGTGCCTTCCAGATGCATTTCAGTGCCCCTGGGGACATTTTGATGCCCCCCAGATTTGTTCTGGTGCCCTCCAGGTGCATTTCAGGGCCTTCTGGGGTCAATTTGTTGCCCTCCAGGTGCATTTTGATGCCCCCCATGTTCATTTTGCCCCCCCCCGGGTTCACTGGAGGCCATCAGAACCCCTTGAGCAGCAGCCACGCTCGCACCTCGCTGTCCACGTGCCCTTTGAGGCGCAGCGTTCCAGTCACCTCATTCACCTGGGTCAGTGGCTCCTTCCCCACACGCTGCCCCACAAATTCCCTCAGTTCCTTCTCCAGTGCCTGCAATGCCAAAAACACCCCAAAATGAACCCAAACTACCCATTTTTCTCCTCCACCCACTCACCCCCCCCTCCCAAATTCTCCATTTACACCCCAAAAAGCCCCCAAACCCCTATTTTTTTGAGGGCACCTTCAGCAAATTTGCTGATGGCACCAAGCTGAGCGGTGCTGGTGGAAGGAAGGGATGCCATTCAGAGGGACCTCAACAGGCTGCAAAGGTGAGTGAATCTAATGAGGGTCAACACAGCAAAGTGCAGAGTTTGGCACTTGGGATGGAGGAATGCCAGGCATCGATACCGACTGGAGGGAGCAGACCTTGAGAGCAGCCCTGCAGAGAAGGACCTGGGGGGGTTCTGGGGGGTGAAAAGCTGAGCGAGGGGCTGCAGTGTGTGATTACAGCTGGGAAAGTAAATGGGAGCCTGGGCTGCATCAGCAGAGGGGTGGCCAGCAGGGACAGGGAGGTGATTGTCCCTCTCTGCTCTGCTCTTGTGAGGCCACAGCTGCAGCACTGCGTCCAGGGCTGGGGGTCCCAGTACAAGACAGACAGGGAGCTGCTGGAGGGGATCCAGAGGAGCCACAAAGATGATCAGGGGCTGCAGCAGCTCCTCTGTAAAGACAGGCTGGGGGAGCTGGGCTTGTTCAGCCTGGAGATGAGAAGGCTGCAGGGTGAGCTCACTGCAGCCTTTCAGTGCCCAAAGAGAGCCTACAAACGAGGGGAGTCAGCTCTTGGAAAGGGGAGATAACAGCAAGACAAGGGAAAATGGCTTGAAGTTGAGGAAGGACAGACTGGGGTTGGATGTCAGGGGGAAGTTGTTTGCTGTGAGAGTGGTGAGGTGCTGGAACAGCTGCCCAGAGGCTGTGGATGCCCCGTCCAGCCCTGGAGGTGTTCAAGGCCAGGTTGGTGGGGTCCTGGGCAGCCTGGGCTGGTGTGAAATGTGGAGGTTGGTGGCCCTGCATGTGGTGGGGGGTTGGAGATCCATCATCTTCGAGGTCCCTTCCAGCCCAGGCCGTTCCGTGGTCCCATGATTCCCACCCACATCTGCCCAATTTCACCCCTTTCTCACCCAAATGTCCCCTCGGATGTGGCGCAGCTCGGTGATGCGGCGGCTCCCCTTGGTCACCCTGCGGTACAGGGGCAGGTTGTGCATGCGGGAGCGGCCCACGTGGTACGGCAGGGAGGGGGGGGGCACTGCGGGGGGTCGCTAATTAGTCATTAATTCATTAATTACTCTAATTAAACCCTCCCTTATTAACAATATTCCTCCTTTCCCCCATATTAACCCCGTTTCGGGGGAAAGGAGTTGATTTAGGAGTACCCCATGTCATACCACGATGGGAGGGGCAAAATAATTAACTAATTAATCAATTGCCCTAATTATTTCTCCTTCTCCTCATTAATAATACCCCCTTACCCCAGATTAACCCCATTCCGGAGGGGAAAAAATGTGCTTATTTGGAAGTGCTTCACCCAGTATGGCAGCACTGGGGGGGGGGAAATGCACAGCAGGGGAAGGGCATTAATTAACTAATTAATTATCCTAATTAACCCACCCCCCTCTTTATTAATAACATCCCTTCCATTATATTAACCCCATTTTGGGGAAAAAAAGCATTGACTTGGGAGTGCTCCACGCAGGACAGCAGCAAGAGGGGGAGGAACTGCAGGAAGCGTTATTAGTTGATTGATGAGTTCATTAATTAATTACCTTGTGGGGGGGTCCACCCTGACGGCGTGGGGTAGGAGGGGTGCTGGGGTGGGGGAGGGACGCAGGCAGGGGGCACCAGCCGCTCCACAAAATGGAACTCCTCTGTGGATTCCACCACAGCAGGGTATGGGGGGGGGTCTTGG